GAACCAGAACCAGAACCAGCTTGGTGGAAAAATCCTGTATACTGCAATTACATAATGTTATAAAGTGGTGAATAAGGCTGGGTGGTAAAGCAAACAAATGATCCGGGTTTTCCCCCTTGCACTGGTTTATCTCAAATCAAAACAAATACAAACGGTTTTCAGTATCGTTTTCTTGGACAAAAACAAAACAGACTTTTATGAAACACAAAAAATAGTCATGTTTCATTTTGTGTTACACGGCTGAATGATTTCGCTCTGGAGTTCTTCAAACTTTTATTCAGGAGGAATGGATTTGATCCTGGACACATGGATTTAAATGGACGAAACATCGGTCAATGTCAGGACTTGGAAACGCCGTCAGGAGTTTGGCGAGTCCTGTTCCTCCTCGTGCCCTGTTTTTTGTGCTTTAAGCTTTTACACTGTGGCAGGAAACATCATTATATGATGGGTATGAGGCAGGCACTAGAACAGGCTGCATGTCTACAGTGAAAAAGCCTACGTGAGGAATGTTCCCAGAAATACCCAAGGCCTCTTATGCACTTGTATTTAAAGTCACGTAATTTTCACCAGTGGGCCCTTTGACCGTGGGCCCTTTGACCGTGGGCCCTTTGACCGTGGGCCCTTTGACCGTGGGCCCTCCCAAGACGCCCCTTGTGTCTCGGTGTGTCTCTGCATCCTGACAGTGACTTGTTAAGCCCAAAAAGGAAGCACATTTTCTGTGTTTGTTTTTGGATCAAGGCCGTTTGTATGTACTGTATTTTTCGGACTATAAGTTGCACTTTTTTCATGGTTTGAGTGTTTCCTGCGATTTATATATTAAAATGTTTCAGTGAAGCGTGGAGAGGCTCTAGTCTTGTGTGTGAGTCTCTGCTGCTCCTGTTCCTCCTGCACCACTGTCACTTGGCTCTACTGCACATGTCTCCTGCAGAAAGAGCCTCTGTCCTGTCTGTATCATGTCAGTCGATCGCACCATTACTTCTGTAACACTGAACAATTTAACAATGCCACCAAAAAGAAAATCATATTTTGCAGATTACAAACTGCAAGTCGTGAAATCTGCAGCTGAAAACAGTAATCAAGCAGCAGAAAGAAAGTTTTGGAGTGAGAGAGAAACTTGTGACACCGGGAGTTGCTCAGAAGTGACAACCGAGGATGAAGAATTGAATGGATTTAGTGATTTGGAGTGAGATGGAGAGTTTGTTAAACTTGTTCTGTTCTGTTGTTGATGTTATAGTTTATCTGAAGAACTGTTCATATGTGACGTTAACGTCTGTTGTTCTCTCTTCTATTGTTTTTACTGCAACTTGACTTTACATAGGAAATGTCGGTTCCTGGTCTCTGATTTTAGAAAATACATTTCCTCCCCAAAGTGCAACTTATATATGTTTTTTTCTTTTTCATTACACATTTTTTGACTGGTGCAACTTATGCTCCAGTGCGACTTATAGTCCAAAAAACACAGTATGAATGGAAACGGACCCAAACCCATCTCCTCAGGCAGGTCTCGGCTAGGGATGTAGTGATATTCAAATCTCACGTTATGATATTATGGAGAAGCTAATATAACTGTAGTTGCTTTTAAAATACCTTGACGAGACTTTCGGGCAAATCATTACTATCATAATCCCGAGAATTACAAAAACAAACAAAACAAAGTTCTCTACAATAAAACAATGCATTTAAGCAAAGGAACTTGTGATTCGATATATTGTGACATCCCATGATATTATTGAGAAACCTTGGATGATACGAAATCATAATATATCGGTTGTTGGTACATCCCTAGTCTGTTTGGTCCAGACCAGAGTTCACTTATTTTTATTCACAAATAAAGTCAGGGAAATCGGACTGAAGCCTGTAAGTGTGACTACGCCCTAAACCTTGATTAAAATGTGATTAATTGTGCAGCCTGCTTGTGAAAGACATAAAGAGCGTTGACTAATCTGCATCTATGAGTCCAGACCTGTTATAAGCTCGTCCGATTCAAACAACTATTTATATCTCCAATCCTCTTACGCCGTCTCCCTGATCAGAGCCAATCAACACGACTCACAGAGTGCATGTTTTATCTGGAAATACAGTCAAATAAGTTCATAATGAAACCTGAAAAATCACGCGAAACCCATTTATTTCTCTGGAGATGTCGTTCGTCTGCCGGGAATGTTCCACAGTGTGACATTAAACAGTTCCACTTTACATTTATTCAATTATACGTGGTTTTGTAGCTGAGAAATTCCTAGAAAAACAAACATTCTGACTGTGAGAAACATTCCAGACAAAGCAATTACATAATAAACCAGGTCTGAAAGAGGACTAAACCAGGACTAAACTAGGAATGAACCAGGACTAAATCAAGTCAAAACCAGGTCTGAAAGAGGACAAAACCAGGAGTAAACCAGGTCTGAACCAAGTCAGAACCAGATCTGAAACAGATTTGAACCAGGACTAAACCAGGACTGAATGAGGACTAAACCAGGACTAAACCAGGTCTGAACAAGGACTAAAGCAGGACTAAACCAGGACTAAACCAGGTCTGAACAAGGACTAAAGCAGGACTAAACCAGGTCTGAACAAGGACTAAAGCAGGACTAAACCATATACGTGTACTGTATCTGACACATTGCATACATGAAAAAAACAAAAAAAACCATAGAACTTCCTGTTCTATGTTTTATGTTTTTGTGATGTCACAAGGTGGAGTGTTTTCTGTTTGAAAAAAGAGCTGAGCCTAAATCTGCAGTTTGGTTTGTGTGTTAAACGTGTGAAGGAAACAAAACACAACTCCAGATCTGTGTACGTGACCTTTTTCGGGGTCTGTGTCGGTTTCAGTTTCGGTGGTTCTGACCTGTTTCGGGGGTCTGTGTCTGTTTTCAGGGGTCTGTTTTGGTAGTTCTGACCTGTTTCGGGGTCTGTGTCGGTTTTCGGTGGGTCTGACCTGTTTCGGGGTCTGTGTCGGTTTTCGGGGGTCTGTGTTTCGGTGATTCTGAACTGTTTCGGGGGTCTGTGTTTCGGTGGTTCTGAACTGTTTCGGGGGTCTGTGGTTCGGTGGTTCTCAACTGTTTTCAGGGGTCTGTGTTTCGGGGTCTGTGTTGGTTTTCGGGGGTCTGTGTTTCGGGTCTGACCTGTTTCGGGGGTCTGTGTTTCGGTGGTTCTGACCTGTTTCGGGGGTCTGTGTTTCGGTGGTTCTGACTGTTTCGGGGTCTGTGTTTCGGGGTTCTGGACTGTTTCGGGGGTTCTGTGTTTCGGGTCTGACCTGTTTCGGGGGTCTGTGTTTCGGTGGTTCTGGACTGTTTCGGGGGTCTGTGTTTCGGTGGTTCTGACCTGTTTCGGGGTCTGTGTTTCGGTGGTTCTGGACTGTTTCGGGGGTCTTTGTTTCGGTGGTTCTGGACTGTTTCGGGGGTCTGTGTTTCGGGTCTGACCTGTTTCGGGGGTCTGTGTTTCGGTGGTTCTGACCTGTTTCGGGGGTCTGTGTTTCGGTGGTTCTGGACTGTTTCGGGGGTCTGTGTTTCGGTGGTTCTGAACAGTTTTTCATTGGTCTGTGTCGGTTTTCGGGGGTCTCTGTTTTGGGTCTGACCTGTTTCGGGGATCTGTGTTTCGGGGGTCTGACCTGTTTCGGGGTCTGTGTCTTTTCGGGGTCTGAGTTTCGGTGGTTCTCAACTGCTTCAGGGGTCTGTGTCGGTTTTCGGGGGTCTGACCTGTTTCGGGGTCTGTGTCGGTTTTTCGGGGGTCTGACCTGTTTCAGGGTCTGTGTCGGTTTTCGTGGGTCTGTGTTTCGGTGATTCTGAACTGTGTTTCGGGGTCTGTTTTCGGGGGTCTGACCTGTTTCGGGGGTCTGACCTGTTTCGGGGGTCTGACCTGTTTCGGGGGTCTGACCTGTTTCGGGGTCTGTGTTTCGGTGGTTCTGACCTGTTTCGGGGTCTGACCTGTTTCGGGGGTCTGACCTGTTTCGGGGGTCTGACCTGTTTCGGGGGTCTGTGTCGGTTTTCGGGGGTCTGTGTTTTCGGTGATTCTGAACTGTTTCGGGGGTCTGTGTTTCGGTGGTTCTGACCTGTTTCGGGGGTCTGTGTTTCGGTGGTTCTGGACTGTTTCGGGGTCTGTGTTTCGGTGGTTCTGACTGTTTCGGGGGTCTGTGTTTCGGTGGTTCTGGACTGTTTCGGGGGTCTGTGTTTCGGTGGTTCTGGACTGTTTCGGGGGTCTGTGTTTCGGTGGTTCTGAACTGTTTCGGGGGTCTGTGTTTCGGTGGTTCTGAACAGTTTTTCATTGGTCTGTGTCGGTTTTCGGGGGTCTCTGTTTTGGGTCTGACCTGTTTCGGGGATCTGTGTTTCGGGGGTCTGACCTGTTTCGGGGTCTGTGTCTTTTCGGGGGTCTGAGTTTCGGTGGTTCTCAACTGCTTCAGGGGTCTGTGTCGGTTTTCGGGGGTCTGACCTGTTTCGGGGTCTGTGTCGGTTTTCGGGGGTCTGACCTGTTTCGGGGTCTGTGTCGGTTTTCGGGGTCTGTGTTTCGGTGATTCTGAACTGTTTCGGGGTCTGTGTTTCGGTGGTTCTGACCTGTTTCGGGGGTCTGACCTGTTTCGGGGTCTGACCTGTTTCGGGGGTCTGTGTTTCGGTGGTTCTGACCTGTTTCGGGGGTCTGACCTGTTTCGGGGGTCTGACCTGTTTCGGGGTCTGCCTGTTTCGGGGGTCTGTGTCGGTTTTTGGGGTCTGTGTTTCGGTGGTTCTGAACAGTTTTTCATTGGTCTGTGTCGGTTTTCGGGGGTCTGTGTTTCGGGGTCTGACCTGTTTCGGGGGTCTGTGTTGGTTTTCTTTCGGGGTCTGTGTTTCGGGGTCTGACCTGTTTCGGGGGTCTGTGTTTCGGGGGTCTGTTTCGGGGTCTGACCTGTTTCGGGGATCTGTGTTGGTTTCGGGGGTCTGTGTTGGTTTTCGGGGGTCTGTGTCGGTTTTCGGGGGTCTGTGTTTCGGGGTCTGTGTTGGTTTTCGGGGGTCTGTGTTTCGGGGTCTGACCTGTTTCGGGGGTCTGTGTCGGTTGTATTCTTCGCCCCAGAGTTTGGCCTCCATCTGCAGCCTGACGTCCTCGAAGTAAACGTCTCTGTTCACCGTCTCCATGTAACGCTTCATCACGTAGTTGGACGCAGATTTCCAGTTACTGCTGTGGGAGAAGTTCGACAACTTCTTCCTGGAAATTAAAAATAAGAAAAAGAAAATCAGCATTAAAAATATCAAAAATCAGATCCTAATCAATAGTAAACCAGGACTAAACTAGATCAGAACGAGGTCTGAACGAGGACTAAACCAGGACTGAACTAATTCTCAGCCAGATCTGAACCAGAACTGAACCACGACTAAATCAGGTCTAAACAGGGACCAAACCAGGACAAAACCAGGACTGAAACAAGTCAGTACCAGGTCTGAACCAGGACTAAGCCAGGACTAAATCAGGATTGAACCAGGAATGAACCAAGTCTGAGGCAGATCTGAACTAGGTCAGAACCAGAACTAAACCAGGTTTGAACGAGGACTAAACCAGGTCTAATTCAGGACTAAACCAGGGACTGAACCAGGATGGAACAGGGACGGGACCAAGTCTGAACCAGAGCTAAACTAGACTGAACCAGGTTTAAAACAGGATCAAACCAGGACTGAACCGGGTCTGAACCAGGACGGAACCAAGTCTGAGCCAGATCTGAACCAGGACTGATCAGGTCTAAGTCAGGTCTAAACAGATACTAAACCAACACTAAACTAGGACTGAACCAAGTCCGAACAAGGACTAAACCAGAACTAAAAAAAGGACTAAACCAGGTCTGAACCAGAACCAAACCAGGACTGAACCAGGACTAAACCTAGACTAAACCAAGACTAAAGAAAGACTGTTTTTTATTGTTCTGTCAGATAATACGGGTCTTTTTAATTTGAGAGTTGCAACTACCATAGCAAATGCATAGTCCCATTTTTGATCTGGTTTAGGCCAAATCTAGACCTAGAATAATCCTGTTTTAGACGAGTTTAGGCGGCAGGTGGAGCTGGCCGTTTTAAAATCCCTGGTACAGACGATAAAAGACACAAACTCGTCCTTTATGTGTTTGAGTCGTTGGTTTTATTGCTTCTATTTGACCCTAATTAAAACAGGAACCACTTCAATTTATGAACCCGGAGGAGACACGACTCTCGCTCTTCTCCACGGAGACGTTATTACTTTGTCTGGAGTGTTTCACAGTAGGGCATTAAACCTTTCTATCTACACAAAACCAGACCGAGTGACAGGTCAGATCTGTGGAGAGGCGACCCCGCTCAAAGTCAGAATGTCTGTTTTTTGAGGTATTTTTGAGCTCTAAAACCGTCTGTAATTGAATAAATGTGAAGTAGATCTGTTCAATGTCACACTGTGGAACATTCCAGGCAGAGCAATGACGTATCCATGGAAACAATCAAGTGAGGGACTCTCCACCAGAAAAGTTACCCAGTGCAGCTTTAAAATAGTTTACGAATTGTTTTAGTCGATCACAGTAGAAAAGAATGATATAATATGAAAACAAGTTATTTTTGTGCAGAATCTTATCTTCTCCTTTTCCTCCGCTTTCTAATTCTCCTTCTCTTCCTCCTTCTAACCTTCCTTCGCCTCCTCCTTCTCCCCACTTCTCCTCCTCTCCCTTCTTTTCCTTCTCCTCCTCCACCCCCCCTCTTCTCCTTCTTCTAATCCTCCTCCTCCTTTTTCTCCTCATTCTAATTCTCCTCCTCCTCTTCTCCTCCTTCTTATCGTTCTTCTCTTTGTTCTCCTCCTCCTCCTTCTAATAGTCCTTCTCTTTCTTCTCCTCACCCTTCTTCTTTTCCTCCTCCTCCTTCTAATTCCTCCTCCTTCTTCTACTTTTTTCTCCTCTTACTTTCTTCTCCTCCTCCTCATCGTTCTTCTTTTTTCTCTTCCTCCTCCTTCTAATCGTCCTTCCTTCTTCTCCTCCTCCTCCTTCTAATCGTCCTTCTCTTTCTTCTCCTTCTCTTTCTCTTCATCCCTCTTCTCTTCCTCCTCCCTCTCCTCCTCCTCCTTCTAATCATTCTCCTCCTCCTCCTCCTCCGCCTTCAAATCGTCCTTCTCTTTCTTCTCCTTCTCTTTCTCTTCGTCCCCTTCTCTTCCTCCTCCCTCTCCTCCTCCTCCTTCTAATCATTCTCCTTCTCCTGCTTTTTCTCCTCCTTCTAATCTTCCTTCTCCTCCTCCTCAACCTTCTCCTTCTCCTCCCTTTTTCTCCACCTCCTTCCCCTTTTAATCCTCCTTTTCCTTCTTCTCCTCATTTTCTTCTTCATCCTCCTTTTCCTCCTCCATCTCCTCCTTTTCCTCCTCCTCCTCCTTCAAATGTTGCCTCACCCACTCAGCACCAAAACTTTTCTAGACTCAGTCCTTCTTCAGTTTGTCTCTAATATATAATAACATCATATTTTCTCAAGATCGAGACAGAACCAAATGAATTTTTACTTCAATTTAATTCATTCACCCAACTTGTTTACAGTTTCTGTTTACTATCTCGGCCTCTTCATCTGAGCTGAGTCATATTAGCAGAATCACTCAGGCCTGTAATGAGTGTTTTCACAACTCTGGTCGTGACCTGGTGACCCAAATTTTCCTCTTTGTTTTAGTTTGAGGATGGAGTTGTAAATGGGGACAAAAATAGCCTCTTCAACATCCACCGGAGAAGCAGTTTGGACTGAGGGATTCTACACACTGTTCCCATTTGTACTTGGGCCAAAAAAAAAAAAAAATAAAAAATAAATCCTCAGTTGAAACCACATTGAGCAGCTCAGGTCGTGGACACAGCTGCAGGTTCACAGACTCAAACTAAAGCCCAACACCAAACCCCGGATTAAACCGCAACAAAACCCCCTCTGATCCCGGATTTGAGTTCTGCTGCGTCGTTTCAAACACGACCGCGACCAGAGAATCAAAGAATCTGAGCAAAACTGTAACACAATGACATATTAGGGATGTAAAATATCGTGATATTGTGTCGTGTGCATAGGCCATGATCCTTTACTTACTTTACTACATAATAAATGAGCTGTTATTAAGCACTTTTAAATCTTTTTTTTTGGAATATGGCAGTAATGATCCACACGGAGGACTGGTCAAGGTATTTAAAAAAGGAAAAAAAAAAAAAAGCGTACGTACAATTATGTTAATCCCTCCAAAATATTGCAATAAATATCGTACCGTGAGAGGCGTATTGTGATAATATCGTACCGTGAGATTTGGATATCGATACATCCCTATGACGTATTTGTTTTGTTATATTTTTTTCTGTTCTATGCTTTGATTTGCATTAGAGTTTCTGTGTCAGTGGCATAAATTTGTTTCAATATTCATTTATCAACAATCAATGATTTTTATTTATTTTATTTTTATTTTATTTTTTTATTTATTTTTTATTAAACTACTGGTTCATTAATATTTTATTATTATTTATTATTATTTTTATTTATTTTAATTTTATTTCTTACTTATTTTCTTCTTACATACTTCTTACTTACTTTTAAATGTTTTATTTATTTATTTTTTTACATTGATATAAATTTTATGCATGGAAAAAAAAGTGGAGAAAAAAAAAGCACTGAATAAATTGCAAATTAAAAAATATATTCATTTATCAGCATTTTAAAATAAATAATATATCACACTTTAAAAAATGTGTTATCATCACAGACCCATCAGCCATTCACTGTCATTTTGATTCCATTACAATTTTATTTTGTAGCCATAAACTAATGTTATAACACAATACTACAATGGATTTTTTTTTAACTGATATAAAAAAAAAACACACTTTATTTTAAACAAAAGCATGCCATTAAAAAAAAATATATATACAGTTTTTCTATGTTAAAACGTGGTCTTGTACAAGTTACTACAAGATGAAGCTTCTGCCTTTTCGGTTTCAGACTCTTGAGTTCATTATTTGCCCAACTTCAAGCTCTGCGAAACGTCTACAGAGACAAACTGAAGCTAAATTAGGACAAATTTTGTATAATTTATTTATTTAAAGTCTTTAAATGAGTATCCGGCCGACATGAAGTACAAAGACGGAGTAGTTTCTGTAACTTGAGAAGCGCTGGTCTCAAGGGACCGGCGCTTTCTAAGAATAAACTGAAAACTGATCTGTCAAACTGGTGCCATTTGCCCAAACCGGTATAAAGTTTCAACACTATTTTTATTTTTTAATTTAAAGTCTCTGCATTTGCTTTTTACCGTCTTAAAAACATGAAAAACAGAAGTAGTTCATTGTAAACGGTTTGAAGTGCTCCAATGTTCTTCCTCATTTAACCTTGTGAATTCAGAAAGTGTTTTTTTACGACTCTCAAAAGACCAGAGTGGTAAAGCTACTAGCATGCTAACGCGTACTTCCTGATTATCGGACAATAAAACTCGTTAAAATCAGATGCAGACAGTACACAGCGGACTTATTTTGACCTCGAGTGCTGCTTATACAAAACATCTGTACTGGAATATTTTGTGTTTTGGAAAACCGCGTGGAGCGTCCGTCAAACTCTTTTCTCCATTCAGATGTTATTGGTTTGTCTGGAATGTTCCGCAGTACGGCATTAAACCTTTCTATCTTCACAGAGGCCAAACTAGACCAAGTTACAGGTCAGATCTGTGGAGAGGCGACTCCACTAAAGTAGCAGTAGTAGTATTTATAAGAAAAATAGTAGTAATAGTACTAGTTAGTAACAGTAGTTGTAGTTAGTAAGAAAGTAATACTATTAGTAGTAAGTTGTAGTAGTAGTAGTATAGTAGTAGAGGTAGTAAGAATAGTAATAGTAGTAGCAGTAGTAGCAGTAGCAGTAGCAGTAGTAGTAGCAGTAGTAGTAGCAGTAGCAGTAGTAGTAGTAGTAGTAGTAGTAGCAGTAGCAGTAGTAGTAGCAGTAGGTAATTAGTAGTAGTAGTAAGAACAGTAGAAGTAGTAGTAGTAAGTAGTAGTAGTATAGTAGTAGACGTAGATGAACAGTAGTAGTAGTAGTAGTAGTAGTAGTAGTAGTAGTAGTAGTAGTAGTAGTAGTAGTAGTAGTAGTAGTCTTAGTAGTCGTAGAAGTAGTAGAAGCAATAGTAGAGTTAGTAGTAGTAGTAGTAGTAGTAAAAAGAATAGTAGTAGTAGTAGTAGTAGTAAAAAGAATAGTAGTAGTAGTAGCAGTAGTAAGAAAAATAGTAGCAGTAGTAGTAGTATAGTAGTAGAAGTAGATGAACAGTAGTAGTAGCAGTAGTAGTAGTAGTAGTAGTAGTAGTAGTAGTAGTAGTAGTAGTAGTAGTCTTAGTAGTCGTAGAAGTAGTAGAAGCAATAGTAGAGTTAGTAGTAGTAGTAGTAGTAGTAAAAAGAATAGTAGTAGTAGTAGCAGTAGTAAGAAAAATAGTAGCAGTAGTAGTAGTATAGTAGTAGAAGTAGATGAACAGTAGTAGTAGTAGTAGTAGTAGTAGTAGTAGTAGTAGTAGTAGTAGTAGTAGTAGTAGTAGTAGTAGTAGTAAAAGTAGTAGTAGTAGCAGTAGTAAGAAAAATAGTAGTAGTAGTAGTAGTAGCAATAGTAGTAGAAGAAGTAGTAAGAAGAATAGTAGTAGTAGTAGTAGTAGCAGTAGTAGTAGTGGTAGAAAGTTGTAGTATTAGTAGTAGTAAGAAGAATACTAGTAGAAGTAGTGAGAAGAATAGTAGTTATTAGTTAGTAGTAGTAGTAGTAGTAGTAGTGGTAGTAAAACCTTTCTATCTTCATGGAGACCAAACCAGACCAAGTTACAGGTCAGATCTGCGGAGAGGCGACCCCGCTCACAGTCACAATGTTGTTTTTCTCAGTATTTTTTGAGCTGTAAAACCACCTGTGATTGAATAAATGTAAAGTAGATCTGTTTAATGTCACACTGTGGAACATTCCAGACAAAGCAATGACATCTCCATAGAAACAAGCAGGTGGTGGACCAGAAAAGTTCCACAATGCACCTTTGATTCGTTAAAATGAGCTACATAAGCGCGGAGGGTTGGTGTATCACATCTTGAGACTCTTCGCTCTCTAGAGGCCGGTTCGTTCTAACAATAAACCCAAAGCAGATCTCTCAAAGTGGTGCCGTTTTTATCTCTTGGGTCAGAAAGTGAAATGTGAAAAATGCTGAGGGGAACCCGGGTTTGAGCCCAGGATCGGCCCGGAGCTTCTCTTGTGGTTTGTTGACATTAAAAGTTCTGTGTATTTTCGTACATTGTGTTGATAAACTGTGTACTCACGCTCGGAAACACTCCCGCATGGCGCCTTTCCCAAACGGCTGCAACAAAAACGCAAGAAAAACAGGTTAAAATTCAAGAAAACACGTGAAAATTTTGTTGAAATTTTATAGAACAGAAAATATAGATAATAGTTTCTTCCACTCTGGTGCAGCGTCTGTCACCTGCTTGTTTCTATGGATGTTACTTCGGAAAGTTCCACAATATGGCATTAAACTTAATTATTTTCAGTAAGAATAGTAGTAGTAGTAGTAGTAGTAGTAGTAGTAGTAGTAGTAGTCGTAGTAGTCGCAGTAGTAGTAGTAGTAGTAGTAGTAGTAGTAGTAGTAGTAGTAGTAGTAGTAGTAGTAGTAGTAGTAGTAGTAGTAGTAGTAGTAGTAGTAGTAGTAGTAGTAGTAGTCGTAATAGTAGTCGTAATAGTCGCAGTAGTGAGAAGAGTAGTAGTAGTAGTACTAGCAGTAGTACTAGTAGTAGTAGTAGTAGTAAGAAGAAGAGAAGTAGTAGTAGTAGTAATAAGAATAGTAGGAAGAATAGTAGTAATAGTAGTAGTAAAAAGAGTAGTAATAGTAGCAGTAGTAGTAGTAGTAGTAGTAAGAAGAGTAGTAATAGTAGTAAGAAGAAGAGTAGTATTAGTCGTAGTAGTAGTCATAGTAGTGAGAAGAAGAGTAGTAGCAGTAGTAGTAGTAGTAGTCGTAATAGTAGTCGTAGTAGTAGTCGCAGTAGTGAGAAGAAGAGTAGTAGTAGTAGTACTAGCAGTAGTACTAGTTGTAGTAGTAGTAGTAAGAAGAAGAGAAGTAGAAGTAGTAGTAGTAGTAGTAAGAATAGTAGGAAGAATAGTAGTAGTAGTAGTAGTAGTAGTAGTAGTAGTAGTAGTAGTAGTAGTAGTAGTAGTAGTAGTAGTAGTAGTAGTAGTAGTAGTAGTAGTAGTAGTAGTAGTAGTAGTAAGAATAGTAGGAAGAATAGTAGTAAAGTAGTAGTAGTAGTAGTAGTAGTAGTAGTAGTAGTAGTAGTAGTAGTAGTAGTAGTAGTAGAAAGAAGAATAGTAGTAACAGTAGTAAGAAGAGTAGTATTAGTCGAAGTAGTAGTCATAGTAGTGAGAAGAGTAGTAGCAGTAGTAGTAGTAGTAGTAGTAGTAGTAGTAGTCGTAGTCGTAGTCGTAGTCGTAGTCGTAGTAGTAGTCGTAGTAGTAGTCGTAGTAGTAGTAGTAGTAGTAGTAGTAGTAGTAGTAGTAGTGAGAAGAAGAGTAGTACTAGTAGTAGTAGTAGTAGTAGTAGTAGTAGTAGTAGTGGTCAGATAAATGTTTTATGTCAGTACTGTGGAACATTCTTGGCCAAGCGATAACATCTCCATGGAAACAAGCAGGTGAAGAACCCCCTTAGACTATTCTAAAACTATACAGAAAAGGTTTTGAGTCATTTTGAGTCAACAGTATCTATTTTTGAAAACAGTTTTAATAATAATTTTACTGTTTTATTATTCAAATATTATTACTTTTGATAAGCCTCGGGATGGGACAAGATCTCGAGCCACAAGATCAGGCGAGACAATATTACCACAACATCGTGCACACTTGAGGAAAATGATGTTGTGACATTTTTTCCTCATGTTTGTACATTGAATAAAAAGTTACTGGCGAGATAAATTTTTGGAGAATCTGTAGTCACCAAAAGCAGCGCTACAGCAAAAATATGAAATAAAGTAAAATAAAAAATGGTGAAAATAAAATTAGGAACTTGATTGCACAATTATTTATAGTAAATTACGTCAAAATCTCATCTTGTCTCGCTCCCGTAGTTCAAGTCTTGTGTCTAATCTCATGTTGTGGAAATTTAATCTCGTCCCACCCCAAAAAGATTAAAGAAGTAAATTTTTTTTTTTTTTTTACCTGTGAAGCCATCTTGATGTGAACTTCGTCGTGGGCCCATTCTCCTCTGACAGCGTTGTATCTGAAACCACATTTTAAAAAACATCAATAAACCTGGATTTTATTTTCAACACTCTCTTAAAAAAAACTATGAGCCCCAAATTTATACAAAAATCGCAAAAGTAGAATGTTAAATTTGATACAAAAACTGGAGCCATTTCAAATAAAAAAGGGCTGTAAGGGAAATTTTCATACTAAATTTCGTTCACAAATGCATTTCTGTGATCTTTTAATGTAGAAATATTTGATCTTTTAATGTAGAAATATTTTTTTACTGACACTCGGACCTTTAACTATGAACCCAGCCCAGTTTTTACAGTTTAAATTGGCCGTTATAAATGCTGCCGTCTTCTTTTATCTCTCCCAAACACAACACGTCCATCTCGACTGTCCATCTGTTCAAAAGCACTTCAGTGATTTGACCTTTTGACCCCAACACGTCTGAACTCTGACCTTGGATGGACGTTTTGAGGGCGATAAAACAAAAACCACTCTGAGGCAAAACATGAAACCACATCATTACGTTCGGTGAATTATTTAGAGGTTGAAAAAAGTCCAAGGGCGCCTCTGTCAATAAAGACGAGGTGTATCACTTCTGTGGGCGGAGCCTCGTACAGACTCTGCATCAGTAAATCTGGTTATTAGTCGCAGCAGGACTGGACTTAAGTGTGAGCTCAAACACTGGACCGTGGACTAAACTGGGGCACTGTGTCTTTAAAAGTGTCTGTGTGAATAATGTGAGGAGTGTGCAGCTGTATCAGACACTTACATAACACAGGACCGACTTTCACATCACTCTTTATATAATGGAACATGTTTGACTCTACTGAACTTCAGATAAACTACAAAATCAAAGAGCAGAGCTTAGAAAGAAAAAGGTCTGACCTGAGATTGTGTTAGAGCGTGAGGTGGTAAATAATTAAGGGATTACTGTAATCTGATTACTTTTAGCATCGCAAAACTAAACTAGTTACAAGTAAAAATTGAGCAATTAAATTACAGTTAACTTCTCTGCCAAAATCTGTGTAATTCACAGATGTGTGTCGTAAAACCGTAAAACAGTAAAAGAGATAAACAGATAAACAGGAGCATGTGATGTTATGGGACACTTTAGATTCCAGAGATTTAACCACACACCAAAGGAAAATCTGCACAGATAATTATCAGGTAATGAGTAGATTTAAGACAGGCATGTCCAAACTATTAGCCAGGCTGGCGCCACCTAGTGCCTCCACTCAATTTAATTTCTCTCCAGCGAATCAGAATACACTATCAATCAATCAATCAAACTTTATTTCTATAGCACCTTCCAATGGCCAAAGTGCTGTACAACATTAAAACAGGATAAAAAACAATAAACATCATACAAACAAAGCAACAAAGCACATTACACCATTAAAATAAAGAAAGTGTCACACTAGATGGTTTGCAAAAACCCTGGAAGTTGTAGACCGCGCACCGGCCAATCAGAGAAGAGCTGTGAAGCCATGACGTCAAACTCATCACATCTGTCTGTGTCCTTTTGTGGAACAACACAACAGTAAACAAAACGTCGAGATGGATGTAGACGAAGACAGACATTCTGTGTTGGCGACGATTCTCAAGATTGAGGATTTAAAGCCGGAACAAAGAGAATGTTTGGTGAATTTAATCAAGGGGAAAGACGTTATTGTTCTTCTTCCTACAGGATTTGGCGCATTACAAACGTCACGACCAAACAGCAGCGACTGGTTAAATAAAAAAAGTACCTGCCAACCGTCGAGCGAACGAATCCTAATGCTGCGAGGTCAGACGGTTTACATAAAGTGAAACCGTCTGATGAATCAGGCTACCAAACTATGGCTCAGGGGCCAAACGCAGCCCTCAGACTTATATTTCTTGCCTTCCAGTTGAATTGGCCCATATTTCCTTAAGATGTACTTTTTACTGCACATTATGAAAACCCACCTTGCTAAAGCCAAAATTTAAATATTCAGTGTGTCCTTTTCATCATCTAAGTTTGAATAAAGTCTTTGTTTTGATTCCTGTGCCCGACCAGCCAGAACCTCCTCCATCCTGTCATCTTGTTTGAATGTACTAGGCTTTTCTAAAGTATTGTAAAAGCCTGTGTCTCGTTTGGCCGATCAACCAAGTGTTTTGATACAGAGCCAAGATTTAAGGGAATGAGAAATATTGTGACTGTGATTGGATTTGTGATCTCTAAAGAGCAGGATTCTGTTCAGAGTCCACTTTGGATTAACATTTGGGAGAAGACTGAGGATATGAGCTAGTAAAATAATACAAGAATCTCATGCATTTCAGAACATGTTTCTTGAGGTTTAAACTACAGGTCAGCAGATTTTACACAGAATAAGACCCCGTGTAGACACAGGGGAGGGCATCTGACACACAGGGGACATTTCAGAACAGAAACTACAGGTTCGACAGCCTGTTCTTTGCAGAGGACATTCTGTTATGTAAACCACTGCAGTCTTTGTGATTTGACAAAGGTGCCAACTCAAATTTCAGTTTTGATTCAGATGCGATTTAAGATAAACTGTATTTTGTCTCTGGCCTCGTATCGGTTGATGCTTAAAGCCAAAGGATCGACATCGGTAACAGAACAGGAAAAATTGGTGCGCTCCTAATGTCGAATCTGTGCATCATTCGTATCAAAAAAACTGCTTTTTTCAGTTTCGTGTTGAAATGAATAATGGAAAAAACGGATAACGACAGTTTCCCGGTCTCAGTCCCGGTCTCAGTCCCGGTCTCAGTTCTAGTCTGATCCCGGTCTCAGTCCCGGTTTCAGTTCTCGTCTGATCTCGGTCGCAATCCCGGTCCTGTTCCCTGTCCTGTTCCCGGTCCTGTTCCCGGTCCTGTTCCGGTCCTGTTCCCGGTCCTGTTCCCGGGCTCAGTTCTAGTCTGATCCCGCTCTCAGTCCCGCTCTCAGTCCCAGTCTGATCCCGGTCTCAGTCCCGGTCTCAGTCCCGGTCTCAGTCCCGGTCTCAGTCCCGGTCTCAGTCCCGGTCTCAGTCCCGGTCTCAGTCCCGGTCTCAGTCCGGTCTCAGTCCCCCGGTCTCTCAGTCCCGGTCTCAGTCCCGGTCTCAGTCCCGGTCTCAGTCCCGGTGTGATCTCGGTCTCAGTCCGAGTCTCAGTTCTCGTCTGATCTCGGTCTCAGTCCCGGTCCTGTTCCCGGTCTTGTTCCAGGGCTCAGTTCTAGTCTGATCCCGGTCTCAGTCCTGGTCTCAGTCCCGCAGTCTCAGTCCCGGACCTGGTTTTAGTCCTGGTTCAGTCCATTCTCCATGTTTTCCAATTTTAATTAAAACAAAAAAAATCGAAAACTGAAAAAAACTCCTCATTATCCATTTTTTTCATTTTGATTTTGGAGACAAATAACATAGAACAAAGTTGTTTTTAAATTTTCTTAACTCTGGTTTTATTTTGAAAAACAAATCAATAAACTCTTCACAGATTATTGTTTTATATTGCTCAGCTCTGGTCTGAAATGTCACAGCGTCGCCTCGGTCTCCTCTCCTCTTCCATGTACGTACGCGCTGGTATTTTCAGTCTCTCGCTGGCTTCAGGTCCACATGTTTGAACGGGGTTTGTCCAAAACACCGCGCAGCTTTGCCAATCATTCACACGGACGAGAACAGCGTGTACTCACCGAGGCCACTACAGTAACAGATCTGTTGGACGACGAGAGGAGACGAGAGGAGAGGAGGGAGAACTCGACACACGGTTAAATTTAGCTCAGAGCGAGATACGTGGGAGTGTGGCCTATTCAGATCTCTGCCCGTGTTCAGAATCTGTGTCTGTGGGCTAGTCCCGTCAAGTCCAAACGGGTTATATAACAGCAGCACAGGAAATCTGACATACCAAGGTGCACAGCGCTGTGAGATGTTGGTCCCGGTTTGGTCCCAGTTTGGTCCATTTTCAGTGCGGGTTCAGTTCTAATATAGTTCTGATTAAATCCTTGTTTGGTCCTTGCACAGTTCTAGTTGAGTCCTGGTTCAGACCGGGTGTAGTATTAGTATATAGTCCTGGTTCGGTCCCGGTTCGGTCCCGGTTTAGTCCTGGTTCGGCCTTGGTTTTTAGTCTTGGTTTTTAGTCCTGGTTTTTAGTCTCGGTTCGGTCTCGGTTCAGTCTCGGTTCAGTCTCGGTTCAGTCTTGGTTCAGTCTTGGTTCAGTCTTGGTTCAGTCTTGGTTCAGTCCTAGTTTTTAGTCCTGGTTTTTAGATTTGGTTCAGTCCTGGTTTTCAGTCCTGGTTTTCAGTCCTGGTTTTCAGTCCTGGTTTTCAGTCCTAGTTTTCAGTCCTGGTTTTTAGTCCTGGTTTTTAGTCCTGGTTTTTAGATTTGGTTCAGTCCTGGTTTTTAGTCCTGGTTTTCAGTCCTGGTTTTTAGTCCTAGTTTTTCAGTCCTGGTTTTTCAGTCCTGGTTTTTTAGTTTTTAGTTTTCAGTCCGGTTTTTAGTCCTGGTTTTTCAGTCTGGTTTTTAGTCCTGGTTTTCAGTCCTGGCTTTCAGTCCTGGTTTTTAGTCCTGGTTTTCAGTCCTGGTTTTTAGTCCTGGTTTTTTAGTTTTTAGTCCTGGTTTTTAGGTTTGGTTCAGTCCTGGTTTTTAGTCCTGGTTCAGTCCAAGTTTAGTTATATATAATATAGTCCTGGTTTGTTCTTGGTAAGACATGGTCCGGGTTCAGTCCAGGTTTCGTCCAAATTTCGTCCAAGTTTCATCCAGGTTTGATCCTTATCTTAGTTCGGTTAGTTCCGGTTCAGTTTCCGGTTCAGTCCGGTTCAGTCCCGGTTCAGTCCCGGTTCAGTTCCCGTTCAGTTCAGTCCGGTTCAGTAGTTCAGTCCAGTTCAGTCCAAATTTCGTCCAGGTTTCGTCCAGGTTTCGTCCAGGTTTCGTCCAGGTTTCGTCCAGGTTTCGTCCAGGTTTCGTCCAGGTTTCGTCCAGGTTTGGTCCTTATCTTAGTGCTGGTTCAGTCCTGGTCAAATCACAGGTCAGATCTGTGCTAAGACAATCCCGCCTACAGTAAGAATGCGTTTTTGTCAATTTACTTCTGAACAATAAAACATAATAACATCTCCAAGCAGAAAAGTTCCAGGGTGCACCTTTAACACGGCACACAGAGGCAGGGATGTAAACAGATCAGATGAGGCTCGGGTTCAGTTTGGCAGCTCTTCATGAACGACCGAACCCAGATTCATTTAGAACATCATGAGGTCAGAGATATTTCACATACTGGGCTAAATCTTAAACGCCGTGACCCTGATCTGGACGGGAGCAGAGAGAGAGAGGAGCAGAGAGACAAAGAGCAAAGAGAGACAGAGATGAGCAAAGAGACAGAGAGAGAAAAGAGACAAAGGACAAAAGAGACAAAAGAGCAAAGAAACAGAGGAGAAGAGAGACAGAGGAGCAGAGAGACAAAAGAGCAAAGAGACAAAAGAGCAAAGAGACAGAGAGAGACAGAGAGACAGAGGAGAAGAGAGACAGAGGAGCAAAGAGACAGAGAGAGCAAAGAGACAGAGGAGAAGAGAGACAAAGAGAGCAAAGAGACAAGAGAGCAAAGAGACAAAAGAGCAAAGAACAGAGGAGCAGAGAGACAGAGGAGCAAAGAGAGAAAGAGAGGACAGACAGAGGAGAGGAGACAGAGAAGAAAGAGACAGAGAGACAAAGAGAGACAGAAGAAGAGACAGAGGAGAAAGAGAGACAGAGGAGAGAGAAGAGACAGAGAGGAGAGAGAGAGACAGAGAGGAGAGAGAGACAGAGGAGTAAAGAGAAAGAGGAGAGAGAGAGAAAAACAAGAGACAGAGGAGCATTACCTCACATGGAAAAATCAGGGGGGCAGTTTTGTACATTATACACATTCAGAAAATTTTACCTAATAAGGAAATTCAGTCAGATAAGCCGTGTGTTTGTGTCTGTGTGTGTGTGTGTGTGTGTGTGTGTGTGTGTGTGTGTGTGTGTGTGTGTGTGTGTGTGTGTGTGTGTGTCTGTGTGTGTGTGTGTGTGTTTGTGTCTGTGTGTGTGTGTCTGTGTGTGTGTGTGTGTGTGTGTGTGTGTGTCTGTGTGTGTGTGTGTGTAGAAATCTCTGAAGCATGAAACTGTACTGTTGTGTTTAAACATTGTGCTTTAAACAGTTTTGAACAACAGAGTGGTCAGCTGCTCTTGTTTGTTTATCCATCTGACTCGGACGTCTGAAGATGTCGTCTAGCAACACGCACAGACACGCCCATTTTTCAAGGACCCCAGAACTCAGAAGAACTTGGAAGAACTCTGAGGAGATAGAGATAGAATCCAAAATGGCTGTGCCCAGTGTCACGTTTAAGAACTGTCACTTTTTATGAGCTGTTTTCACTGTGTTTGGAGCTTTGGTTGTTTAAATGACAATTTCAGACACTCGTATCACTGCAGCACCTTACTGCTTCTGTATTACTGCGCGTGGGTATGGACGGCGGCCGGTCTTGTGCCAAGGTCAATATTGAGCGAAGACTCAACGTTTTAAACGGGTGTTGCTAAATGTCCCTAAAGTCACTAACAGAAGATAAACAACAACAATAACAGCTTTACGGTTGGCGACCACATTTTTCTCCAAGTGGGACATGCAAAACATAATAAAACGCTTGAAGTGTGAACATGACGTCATATCTGAGATCCGAGTGGGAGACGGATGGATAAACGAATGAAATTAGCTGTAGCCTATAAACATTTGAGTAGCTCCAGGCTTTTTACACCATATGTGGCAGCAAATGTGGCAGAAGACCTTCCAGACGTTTATCGGTCAAGGCCTTTCCTGTGGAGTTCACAGGAGTTACACTTTTGTCCAGAGGGCTCTTAGTCTCCTCAAACTGCCCTGACACAGATCTGCTGACCAGTCCACCTGTTAAACTGACCTCTGACCTTTGACTGAGACGTGCGGTATATTTCTGAATCGACCTCGGGATCAATATCATCCATCTCAGGCCGTCTCTGGACCCTTCTGTGACCCCTGCTCACCCTCAAACCCTCCTCCTCTCTTCCGTGTCTTTACCTGTATCTGACGCAGGGCTCCGTCTCCTTCTCCTCCAGGTGAAACTCGGCCCACGGGTCCGGTCGGGCTCGGGCTTTTTCGATGGCCTGTTTCCAGTGCGCCTGTCGTAAAGAACAGGTACAGCTTACTGCACTGAGAGTGTGTGTGTGTGAAACCGCAGCGCTCGCCTCGCTCTGCTCCACCGTCTAAAAACACAAAACGACTTTAAAATGCGACAACGACGAGACGGTGACAACACAAAGAGGCTGTGGGAGAGGCATGCAGAGAGGAAGGAGATTAGAGAATTAACTAGAAGGCAAAAGGGAAAGAGAGAAAAGTGAAAGGAAAATGATAAAGTTTTGTATTAAAGAAAAACAAGGGATGAGCAGAAGGGTAAGTTTGTGCAGAATAGAGAGAGAACTATAAAAAAAACATTTCCTAAACTTATTTCTGTTAACGAATCATGTCTGAAATACTGCGATTTTCAACCCCCCCAAAAATAAAAATTTAATTAATTAATTAAAAAATCAACTACAGAGATGGGTAATATTGTTCCAGTATCAATATCTGTACCAATCCACTGATAACGGTTGATTCAATACTGATATTTTGGGGGTAAATAATATTTTTTGGGAGCTGAGAGAGAAGAGAGAGAAGAAGAGAGAGAAGAGAGAGAAGAGAGGAAAGAAGGAGAGAGAGAGAGAGAAGAGAGGACAAAAGAGAGAAGATGGAGAGAGAGAGAGGAAAGAAGAGAGGACAGAAGAGAGAGGAGAGAAGAGAGGACAGAAGAGAGAGAGAGAAGAGAGAGGGAAGGAGGAGGAGAGAGAGAGAAAGAAAGAGGAGGAGAAGAGAGAGAGAGACAAGAGAGAAGACCGAGAGATAGAAGAGAGACGAGAGAGAGGGGGGAGAGAGAGAAGAGTGGACAGAAGAGAGAGAAGAGAGAGACGAGAAAGACAAGAGAAAAGACAGAGAGAGAGAAGAGAGACGAGAGAGAAGACAGAGAGAGAGAAGAGAAAGACAAGAGAGAAGACAGAGAGAGAGAAGAGAGACGAGAGAGAAGAGTGGACAGAAGAGAGAGAAGACAGAGAGAGAGACAAGAGAAAAGACAGAGAGAGAGAAGAGACACAAGAGACAGAGAGGAGAGAAGAGAGGACAGAAGAGAGAGAGAGGAGAGAGAAAAGGAGGAGGAGAAGAGAGAATGGGGGGAGAGAGAGAAGAGTGACAGAAGAAAGAGAAGACAGAGAGAGAGAAGAGAGACAAGAGACAGAGAGGAGAGAGAGAAAAAGAGAAGAGGATGACAGAAGAAAAAGAGAGAAGAGAAGAGAGAGAAGAATGAAGAGAGAGAGTAGTAGAAGTAAAAATGATCAAGTTTTATATTAAAGCAAAACAAGCGATCAGTAGGTGGATACATTTGTGCAAAATAGAAACTATAAAAAACATTTCTGTTAACTGGTCATGCCTGAAATACTGTGATTTTCACACACACACACACACACACCGAGGAGCATTATATGTGTGGGCACGCTGGTCCAGAATAGAGAGAGAGAAGAGAGAGAATGGAGAGAAGAGAAGAGTAGAGAGAACAGAGAGAAGAGAGAGAACGGAGAGTAGAGTAGAGAAAAGAGCAGAGAAGAGAGTTCAGTAGAGTAGAGAAGAGAGAGAAGAGAAAGAACAGAGAGTAGAGAGAACAGAGAGAAGAGAGAGAGAGAGTAGAGAGTAGAGAGTAGAGAAGAGAGAAGAGAGTAGAGAAGAGAGAGAGTAGAGAAGAGAGAGAACGAAGAGTAGAGAGAGAGAGAGTAGAGTAGAGTAGAGTAGAGAGTAAAGAGTAGAGAAGAGAGAGAAGAGAGAGAACGAAGAGTAGAGAAGAGAGTAGAGTAGAGTAGAGTAGAGAGTAGAGAAGAGAGAGAACGGAGAGTAGAGAGAGTAGAGAAGAGAGTAAAGAGTAGAGAAGAGAGAGAAGAGAGAGAGAAGAGAGTAGAGAAGAGAGAGAAGAGAGAAGAAGAGAGTAGAGTAGAGTAAAGAGTAGAGAAGAGAGAGAAGAGAGAGAACGGAGAGTAGAGAAGAGAGTAGAGAGTAGAGTAAAGAGTAGAGAGAGAGAAGAGAGAGAAGAGAAGAAGGAGAAGAGAGAAGGCAGGAAATAGAGAGAAGAGAGAGGAAAGACGAAGGACGGATGAATAGATAGATAGATAGATAGATACATAGATAGATACATAGATAGATACATAGATAGATACATAGATAGATAGGAAGAGAGAGGGACCAGGGAAGAGAGAGAGAGAAAGAGAAGAGAGCGGTGGGTAGAGGGAGAGAAGAGCGAGGGACTGGAGGAGAGAGAGAGAGATGAGAGTCAGATGCAAAACCAAAATATAACCTCGCACCAGGAACCATAAATCAAAAGGTCAGCAGAAAGTTGAAACCCCCACATGGTCCCATCAGCCGCGTTTCTACGAAGCCAAACCAGTCAACAAGAACAGAGTTTAATCGGGGAATAAAGACGGAATTATGTCACATTTTATCTTACATTTTACTTAACGAATAATACAAAAGAGTCAAACATGTATTTCCTTTGTTTGTCAAACCAAAAACATCCACAACAGATCAAATCCTGCAGCTAAGTTCGTCCTAAACAAGAATCTAGAGATGAGTCCCACTGCTCCTGACAAGTTTAACCCAGGGACAGTGAAGAACGGGTCAAATGCAGGTTTAACTCAGAGAAAAAAATGAAAATAATTAACACAAATCAGCATTGTGTTTTTGTTTATCCTCCCAGTTATCTTTAAATTGTACCCAAGAACCAGCCGGTCTTCCTGGAGTCCTTCAGTGTCTGGACCTTAACTCGGCCTGATGGTGACATTTATCAATTACGATTCAACAAATTATCACCATGGAAATATAAATTTAAAGGCAAACTGTGGAACTTTCCAAGCAAATTCACTGCTTTTTCTGTTTAATGCAGCTCTAGGATAAAAAAACAAAACAAAACAAAACAAAAAAAACACTTTCCACAACCCACTCCACTCCAAGTCCATTTATGGAACAGAGTTGGACGTGTGCAAATATTAATCTTTTAAATTCATGAATTGTTGTGAATATTTGAGGGGGTGGAAGGAAATGTGGGATTGTTTTTAATCACTGTAGTGCTTTGTGTTGTCTTTTTGTATGAAAAGCTCTGCAAATAAAGCAACAATACATTGATTGATTAAAAAGTTATTTTTGCTTTTTGATAATATATTATAAACCTGTGTCTATTTGTAATGTGTATGTGTTCTTGTTTCTTTTGTTTTATTTTTTTCATCTAGTTTATCTAATGTCAAATGTCTAACAAATATCATGTAGCTGAAATTAATTGATTGATTAATTGTAGGGGTAGGATAAAAAAAACTCCTTTTGTTGAACCATTTTGTTATCTTAATTTTGTTAGTTTCTTTCTCTGTGTCTCCAGCGTCTCTGTACGTGGCCCCTCCCACCAGAGCAGCACAAATGAAGACTTGTCTCTTTCCAAACGCTCTTAAAGGACGATCGTTTTGACTGTTGACCGTGACACCCTCATCAGAAAAATGTCACAACATGAGAAAAGTGGAGCCGAGTGCAGGATTTTACAAGAAAAACTGACATTTCTATTTATATACAAGTTCATGTTAAAACTTTGTGTTGAAATTGCATTTTTCTTAAAGTTTCAGGTTGTTCATAATATTATAATATTTTGTAAAAGAGTTCATCAATTAAAAAAGATTTCTGTAATAGATTTGCGTTTCTCTGCACAAATATTTGAACTTATTGTTATTTTTGGGGTTTATATTTCAATTAGGGATGGGCATGATTAATCGATTAATCGATAATTGATCATTAAGAATTTCATCGATTACGTTAATTTTAATCGACAAACCGAATGTAGTTTGCTGTGTGTATCGTGACCAAACAGGTGTGTACATGTGTCTCTGCATCAGAAGGAGCGAGACACAAACAGTCGGTCAGTCTGTAACGAACCGAAGCACAAATGTGGATTTAACGATGATTTGTACAAGAAATTCCACACTTTCCGTTGCGTTCGGGACAAGTGTGAGTCCATGTGCACAGTGTATAAAGCAGGAACATTTGTTTCGTGTCCAGAGGGAAAAAGCCTTGCCAGGTGAGAGTCGTGCAATGTGGATGACGAGGCCCCGCCTCCCTCCCCCCGTACGGCTGTCCTGGTTTTGACAAACACAAATCTGGTCACACTAACCTGTATTCCACTGAGTCTTGTCCTTTAATCCGACAGTAATTGACCGCATCAGCGACACAAGAGCTGTAGTTTTATCTTCGCTTAGTTTATGCAAATTAGCGATGCGGTTTTAAGTTTCGTTTCTGTGAGATTTGAACAAAACTGATTTAAACACATTATAATGTCAAACAGGCTGATGTGGCTCTAGAGTCGTTACAGTTTATATGTCGTAAAGTTGAATTTATTTATGCAGATTAGTAGTGCAGATAGTAATAATAATGATGATCATTTTAATATAAAAATGTTAATGATTAATCGATAATCGATCGATTAAGAAAATTTCATCGAATGCCCATCCCTAATTTCAATAATTTTTTGTTCCGGCAAATTGGGATCAAAGTAGGTTGGATACGGCCCTCTGACCAATATGAGTTAAACACCCCTGCGATACAGTGATACGTGAATTTGTTTCAGTGTAAATGTGGTCTTAGACTTTAATCTGAGCTTTGTTTTTACACAGTCTGACCAGAAAGAACTCACTCCAACTGGAACAACAGGTCAGCAGATTTGTGCAGTTAAACAAGGCCCTCTCAAACACCATAAACTCCTAAACAGGACCATGAACGCTCAGACTGATCACAGGCATTTTCAGACTTTTTTTTGTCTGTGTTTGCATGGTCTCTCCATGGTAACTGTTTAACATCCCCCACAGTCGAGTATCTTTTCGAAAACAGCCGACAGCTTTAGTTTTCTGGCTCTCGTTCATTTTCCTCGCGATCTGCCAAAAAGAACATCCAGCCCCTTTTGTTTTCAGTTCAGTCATGTGCTGTAGTTTTTCTCTCCCGTCTTCAAACCATGAATCAAATGTCCTCCCCGCGTCCTCGCTGTAACCGGAGCCGCCCTCCTCGCCGCACGTCTCTCTCGTCCGGAGCCACAAACCGAAGCTCCTCTGGTTTTAAATTTAGCGTGTTTGCGTCTATAAGAGGAGACGTGTTTTGAACTTTG